TAACCGTGTCAGCTCTACAATTCGGCTGTCTAAACCAGATTATTTCTTCAGTCGCGACGAGTACTGGTTTAAACGGCTTCCGCTATACATATAAATGCAGATTACATGGGACAAACATTCCGATAAGAAAGGCCTGACACAATGAAGGGAACACTGTCAGCACTTCTTTTGGTCACCACCTTCATATCCCACACGTCAACGGCAGGAGTCAATGTCACCGTCACAGTTTTAACAACACAAGTGGTTTCATTTATTGATGAATTATTTATTGGTGTCACTCTGGACTCCCATCTCCTGCCTGCCTCAGCGAACTGGGGAGGATTAGACTTCAAGTGAGTAGGTCAAGGTGATCGGCATATAAGTCAATAGATATCATGTTATTGAAGATTCCTTTCATTTGAAGTTATTAAATTGTATTCGGGGCACACTCATGCAGTACGCTACGTTCATAAACAACGATAACGAACACAACGAACTGCTTGTTTGTTGTTGTGTATATGTCCCAACTAGGTGCTGGATATTTTAGAACGACATATAAGGAACGACAGATATATCAAACTCAAATTTGTGGTCCCTCTGATAAAAAACATAGTTTATTGTATCTGAACTTTGGGGCACGTCATATTTCAAATCTACATTCAGGCAAATCAGCGAAAAATACAGACCAAAGGTCCTGATAAGGCTAACCACTAAGAAACTAAACTAGGTCATATTACATGGGCAGATACAGGAATTTTGAAAGTGTGTGTGTGTGTGTGTGTGTGTGTGTGTGTGTGTGTGTGTGTGTGTGTTGTCAGGGGTTCCACCAACGCAAAAATCTTCAATGTGGTCTTAAGTCATTTTCAAAAGGGGGAGGGGTCGAACCTCGTGACCCCCCCCACACACACACACGCACACCCCACCCCTCTCTGGATCCGCCAATGTTTTAGTAGATGTCTGTAAGAACATTGTATCCAAACCGTTGAGCGCAGAAACGGAATGTATTTAAAAGCATTATGCCATTTCTGTTTTGGTGTTTTATCCGTTAATACATTGTAGATGTGTGATATTTATTTGAACTCTTCCTCTGCCTCGACGCCATTATGTAAAAAGGTGGCAACTTAGTACCACGATTTTCCTAGTGCCAAGATGTTGTTTGCCTCCAGCTCTCAGAAAGTTCAGACCCTGGCTAAAGGTTTGTCTCCATGCTATCTGAGGATTGGAGGAACTGGGGGTGACAACCTGACCTTTGACCCTACAGGTCATGGCACAGCAGATGTCAATCATACATTTACAGGTGCGTATATCTCCTTATTATATTAATAGTTTGTCGAGCTATGGTATTGCACATATATGTATATCCAGGAGGCCAGTGCAGTCCTCTTGGGGGCTCACAATAACAGATGCTCCGAATATTCTAACATTTTAGGTATTTGTGATCTCACTATCGTTAAGCCTGTTGTGTGTGCAGGAGCTTCCTGGAATGCTGTTAATACATTTGTCCAGGATGTCAACTGGAAGTTAATATTTGGTCTGAACGCCCTGAAGAGGAAGGATGGTCACTGGGATCCTACCAACGCAAAAGAACTGCTGCAATACAACAGTGCGAAGGGGTACCAACTGGCAGGCCTGGAACTCGGAAATGGTATTGACATAACCATATGCATGGAAAGATATGACTAAAAGCTACCATGTTAAATGATTCGAATTTAACATACCAAATTACGATGTGCACAATTGTGAAAATCTGATATCTTTTTGGGGGGCTGAATTCGAGAATTGTTCCACTTCTCTTCAAAATCAGGGTACAGGTCCCACTATTATGAATGACTTGAAAATAACATTCCTCTTATGTTCTGTTATGTTATTTTTTACAGAACCTGACATATTCCCCTGATCAATATAACATGACTGTGAGTGGCAGTCAGACTCGCTGACTGGGTTGACACATGTCATCGGTTCCCAGTTGCGTAGATTGATGTTCATGCTGTTGATCCCAGAATTGTCTGGTCCAGATCCGATTATTTACAGACCGCCGCCATATAGGTGGAATATTGCTGAGTGCGGCATAAAACTAAACTCACTCACTCACTCACTACAGAAGCTGACTTATTCCCTGGCACATATAACATCACTGTGAGTCCCAGTCAGTTGGGTATGGACTTCTACAACTTCAAGAAGCTGCTCCGATCGACACCCGGGTATGAGGCAACACCAGTAATTGGACCTGACGTGGCCTATGTAACTGTATCAAAATCACAGTTCTTTGCTGAGTGAGTACATCGCCAGAGCCGTGGCCATACAGTTTATATGAGCCCTACCAAATCATACTGAGTACTTTCTTTGCTTCATCTTTGATATAAGTGACCAAGAGCGTTCGTGTTGGCAAATATTTGGTACAGGCATTGATCATAAGTCAACTGATCGTAATGGCAGATATACTGGAACGTCAAGGTAACACATAAATCGAATTGTCAACATTGGGCAGGCGACGTGTACACACAAAACACAGGTGAGTGGAGATTCTAGATGTTAACCAAAAATACAGGTGAGCGGCTGTCCAGCTCGTACAAACAAATTATTGGACGTTTCCAACGAGCGGCTAAATCCTGCTCGCGGTCGACCATGCAGTCGGGGTACCTGACTGATAAGTACACACATGACGTATCGGGACAAATATATAGTGTGCGCAATGCGTCGTGGTTTTTTAATGAAGGTAATATTTTAATGCCAACAGTAAGATATTTGAAATTGGAGACTAGTCTTATACTGATGAGCCTAGACTCGGCAAGGCAAGCAGATGGGATGTGATCTGCACTAAAAGTGGAATTGGCATGAGAAAAAAAGTAAACCTAGCCAACTTCCAAAGTCTTACCGAAATTTTATGAAAACTTCATTCAAGTGAAATTGGCTCAAAGATATTTCAGCGAACAGTGTATTGTGTGCCCGAGACCATAAAAGTATTATGCGGCTGGCGTTGACGCTGCTCTTGTCTACCACCATCTCTTAACTACCGGTTGCTTTGCTACGAGTTAGGGTAGGGGAATCGTGAGTGAGGCACAGCAAACTCACGCTACCCGGATTCTCCACCGTCTGGCCAAGAGCGTTCGTTTGTAATGCTGTCGGAAGGTAGTTTAGGATGGTTGTCAACAGACGGAAGAGTAGAATTGAAGACATCGGCAGCCATGTTTATAATAGGTGGGGAATTATGGTCTTAATGGTATAAGTTGATAGTAACCACGTGACATAACGCACAGCAGGACAGAGTAGCCAATGTTCCCGCTGCAGAGACTTGTTCTGTCACACACATGGACAAGTCAGACGCACAATCCGTCTGTTGATGACCTGATCATGTCAGTCAGGTTTTATACACAGGGCATTATGCCACGTTGTGCAAGGTCACTGACCTATGCACATGTACACACATAAGTAACATCGACCGACGTAGGGAGGTGTTAATTGACAGTTACTGATAACACTGAGAATCAAGGGTCTTGCCCGGTGGTGGGTTTATGATACGAGGGGACACACCGAATGTTTGCTGAATACATTAAACAGATAAACGAGATAGCATTTCGATCCACTTTGGACATATATTGAAACAATCAGGTCGTTTGAATATATGCAGTTTATGAATCACCATAACCAGTGATGACGCTCGGTATCCTGCTCAGTCGATGACACAATTCAGAAATACGCATGTCGTGCACATGGTTGCAAAGCTAATACCCAGGCATGAAAGGTATCTTCTTCTCAATAACTGGACCCTTTCGTTGTTACACTGCAGAGCAATGTATTGTTAAACAATGTTGTGGGAATTTTTATTCGATTCTGTTAAGACTTAGTAGACGTTCACATGTTGTAACAGTAATCAGATGTAAGGAATGTACTACCATGTAATCTAATCAATGGTTTGGAAGTTACACTACAATAGAGCTTTGGTCAAGTGTAATCTGACATCTTCTCAACCATCTAGGGTCTAATCTAGCATGATTTGTCGCGTTCTATTACATCGCAATCAGCGGTTTTATTTCACGTAGGGTATCCTGCCTCTGTTGGAATCTTGACCACTGTGGCCTCAAGTGTGGCATTGATATGCGTTACTGTCATTTATGAAGATGATGCTCGGCTATCGACCCAGGAACACATATTATTTTTCAGTAAACCACGCAGACTTCCATGATCATTCATTTTGGTTTTTGCAGTTTCTTCGCAGCAGGAGGAGGCAGGGCTATTGACAGAATAACTTTTCACCAGTAGGTGCAAATGATTTTGATATTTATGTTGTACAATGCTCATATACCTCTTCGTTTACGGTTTAATATTCTAATCTTATTTCTTACATTCCTTGACACAGTTCCATCAAGACATCCTGGCTTACTGAAAGATCAATCAGTTCATATATAATACTAGGGTCCACATTTATTGCATGAAATGACTTGAAATGACTTTCTGATGTGTAGTCTTTTATCATCTGTCGTTGAAGTTCATCATGATAGGCGTGGCTGCTGGTATAAAAAAGGCATGCTACTGAATAAATTATCACGTTTTACTGGTTAGCTATACTTCCAACTTGACAAGAAAGACGACAAATACCAGGGGTGACTATTGAGGAGGAAACAACTACATGTATTGCGATAGCGATAGTCTATTGCATCATACTATTGCGATAGCGATAATCTATAGACCAGCTATTGCACAACTATTTGAAGTCATTTTCCAAATGAATGTATATTTTATATGAAATAAACACAAGTTGAAGTAGTTTCAGTATTTTTTAATAACTGACAAGAAACTTGAAACCCAGATCAAGTAAACAGTTAAAACAAAATTTCATTGAAGCTGCTTAAGTCTGCACCCAAAACACCCTGTATTTTGTGCTGCGCATATATCAACGGAAGTCAATTACTAAACTATCAATAGTCACACATACTATCGATGCATCGATAGTTTTTTTGTTTCTACCATCGATTAATTGCTATCGGAGACTCAACAATTGCAATCTAACAATCTGTTGACAGTTACTACACCAACGGCCATACCGCACAACTCCCCAATTTCACCGATTCCAAGTTGATGGACACGCTAGTCAGTACCATACAGACAGCGCTGGATGTGTCAAGACGCACCAACCCACTTACTCCAGTCTGGCTGGGAGAGACGTCCTCCTGTTATTACGGCGGAGCTCCGGGAATCTCCGATAGATATGTCGCTGGGTTTCTGTGCGTAAAAAATCAGTACAAAACTTCACACATACACATTGTACTGTAGTAAACTATACTCGCATAATGATGACTGATGGTAGTTCATAATAATTCCTTTTCAAGTGATATTTACAAAAAAAGTAGCCCAAGATAGCATTTGCCTTCATTCGTAAATCGTTAAGTAAAACAACAGACACGTACATTCTATTGCAACTTCTACACCACCTTTTGAAAGTGTACACTGACCAGGTGGCTGGACAAGCTTGGTATTGCTGCCAGGATGGGCTTGAAAGCAGTTCTCAGACAGGATTTCTACCTTGACAACTATCCACTGATTGACACTGATACCTTTGATCCATTGCCTGTAAGTATAGAGACGACCATTGACCCACAGCCCGTATGAATTAAACTGGCAGTTTGTTCATATATATGTATATAGTGTGCATGTACACGGCCCACACTTGTCTGGTTTTAAACATTCCTAGCTGCTGGATCAAATGTTTTCAAGGATAGTGTTTTTACAAAAAGGTCCAGCCCAGTAAATCAAACCTTTCTCAGGCGATGTGGCTGGTGCGTGTAGGGATGGGCATGGTGGCATCTTCCTGCTAGGATAACGAATAACTGGGAATGGTAGACACATGTAGCACCTACAACAATAAATCACCGAGTTTCAGTGACCCTCTATTATTATATAGACTGTACGCAATGTTGCCTTTAAGCCCAGTGGTGTGAGTATTTCATTGAAAATTCAAGCATGGTTAATCTCAACCTAATTATGTTTGATATTTTATGTACGAGTCTGTTGGGATGATGTGGTATTAATCACGACTGAGGTTATTAAAACAGGCGGTGAAAAAAGCCAAAGTTGGATGAATGCTGTGCATTTCTATCAAGGAATGAGCAAAATTACCCATCATGCAATGAATTTGATTAAATCTAAATGAAGTGGAGCAAGATTTCTAATGAGGAATAATCACTCTTTTTCACTGATGTTACATATTCTTGATCATATTGACGCCTGTCCTAGTAGAACTTCATATTCAGTTACACTTCATTTAGAAAAGCAGTTTCTGCAATTACGATGAAAGATATTTATGTTTTCGTTGCCAAAGACGACTACAAATGATGTTGCGTAACAGAATGGGAACTTGACGCACTGAGTTCATTGAAATATTGAATAGACGTTACAATGACAAATAGTTAGTCTAATTCATTATTTCACATGATAAAATTCTTAAAGCAATAAATATCACTGAACATTAAACTCAACAAAATAAGGTTGTAGAGAAGTCAATCATTCCTATATTCTATTTATATTGATGTAAGCTAGTGAGTTTGTTTTGTTCATGCGTTCCTCTGCAGGACTACTGGTTAACTGTCCTGTATAAGAGACTGGTCGGAGGTTCCGTGTTTTCAGTGGAGGCGAGCGTTGACAACAGCACCATCAGAGCCTACGCCCACTGCACAAAGCCATCCATGTAATTTCAAAACACATAATGCAGCTAGATATTTTAATGCATTCGCCTGCTTAGACGTAAATTCAAAGTTAAAAAATCTGTTTAATGGAACGGATGCGGTGAGGTTAGGTATCACGAAAGCATGAATGGACTTGTCCTGGCAGTTAGTATGTTGTATAAGTTCACAGAGTGATTGATTCAGTCTTTGGATGTTATGGACCTATGGTACCCTTCCAGCTCAATGATGATAATTTCATGGATATACGACTTCTTTATTCTGTGAAAGGCGACGTGTCGACATAGATTATAATGTCATTGTCAAGCAAGTGATACATGAGAAACAATGTGAGGGAATATATAAGTCAGCTGTTATTACAATAGATTGGGGATGAGTTGTATATACAGTAGATACAGTAAATATATATATATAGGTTGAAAGGCTGATGTACGGATCTTGTGTAAGAGAGTAAGTTAGTTGATTTGGGAGTAAGTAAGTTGATTTGAAGCCAGTTAGATACGTACAAAGAATGAATTAGTGACTAACCAGATTGGTGGTGGTGGTGGTGGTGGAATTGGGTTTAACGTCGTGCTTGAGAATAGTTCGCTCATATGACGACGTGCATGCGGTTGTATGTGTATGTGCGGCTGCTTGTACTAGCCCAGACTGAAGCTGGTTTTATAGTGCTAGCCCACTGTGATACCATGCCGCAGTGAAGCATGAATACCCCACTCAGACACATCATACTGACTCCGAGCTGGCCAGTCCGTGTTGTACCCATTAATGCCGAGCGCCAGGCAGGGACCAACAAGTACCATATTTTAACGTATTTTGGTATGAGGCGGTCGGGGATCGAACCCGGACCTTCCGCACACCTAACCAGATTGGACGCAAATGAATGTTTGTACAATAGATGAGGTTGATGTACATAGCATGTACTATATATTGATATTTTCTGATATGACCTGCCCGGGAACAGCATTGGATGCCCAGACACTTTTGCCAACCGTTTGTTCACATTTTGATCCATTAATAAAGCACGTGTCGACATAGGTCCTCTTCCGTGCGCCATTGAAAATCAAACATAATCAATACGAAATATAGAGTAAAATATAATGGGTTCAGATTCATTTCCAATGTCAAGGGAACGGTCCTCTAATATTTTGTGTTGTGTTTTAGTTCCTATGGCTACATGCCCGGCAGTGTGACGATGTACTTCCTGCTGCCCACGATTAACACTACCTCCATTACGTTTCCACAATTTCCCGACCAACCTGTAGATGTGTTCTGGCTGACGCCAATCAATGGACTCACAAGCAAGTAAGTCCTCCTTCAACCTAAACGTTTTCTAGTTTACACCATTCAATAGACACACTGGCAAATAATTCCACTTGTCAACCTATAGATGCTTTCTGGTTCACATCAATAGGTCGACTCAGCAACAGGGGATTTACAAATCGGGAGTTTAGATTGATGTTTCAGGTGGTAAATTAAACTAAGTTTCTTCTAGAAAACCACGTTATGTGAGTGGCCGGCCAAAACAATGCCATTATTTATACATGCAGATATCATGTAGGAGTATACAAAATAGTATAAGTAACATGTAAAGCACTTGTTCCATCTTCACCATATCAGAACCGTGGCCTTGAACAACAACCCGCTAAAGCTTGTCAATAATACGCTGCCGGAGCTGAAACCTTACAGGACGGAAAGAAACACTATTACCTTCCCCGGGAAGTCATTCGGGTTCCTCGTCTTCCCTGAGGCTGACGTGGCTGCCTGCAGTAGCCAGTGATGCTGTTCACAGTATGATTCAGGAGAATCTGTACAATCTGCACTTGCTATGAAAATAAATCCGAATATTAATTCTTAATTCAGTCATATGTTTCTCTGACAGTAGTCAAGCTGAATCCTTGCATGCACACATTTTCCAATCCGAATCAAAATGGCAAAATGAAAGGTTCTTTCTTCTAAAACGATGTCACTATTAACATGATAATTTTGTGTTACATTCACAGGAATAAAGTATGCCGTGGATAAGAAAGGTTCGGAATGGTGGATGACTTAGATGTGAACCAATATGTAGTTCCTTGGGGGTATAAACTAATAACAACTAGTACTTGAAACTACTGTCGGGGGATAAGGTGCAGCCTACTGGATTAAACATCCGTTCGTCAGTCTGAAGGACTGGATTCAGTTCCCCAGATAGATACAATGTGGAAAAAAATTCTTTTGCTTGTGGCTGTGAAAAGAATTTTATTGACATATAACCCTTCTCTTTAACGTTATCATTTGAGTCACACTCATTGTTTCCAGAGAATGTGATAGTATTTAGAACTGTGATCCTACATTAAAATTAAACTGTTGGTTTTTTAAATGGAGCAAATTAAAAAAATAGTCATGGATAAATCATTGATACATTGTGATGAGGCAAGTGCCACTTAACCATTCGACGTGTACTTATTGTTTTTTTACACTTCCCATTATGAAAGTATACTACAATTATCAGAAGGCGATACTGTAATGATGCATCTTCTCGTAAGTAATGATGATGATTGTTACTAGCTGTATTCCGTAAGAGACAGTATATACAGTTGCATCTACGACGATGCAAAGGAGTCGAATATTGGAGAATGTGTGTGTTAATGTAGTGTTTCGTTTGTGTAACACAGCATCCAAAACATTCCGCCAATATACCGACTATCTGCAAATAGAGCAGCTTTGAGCACATAATCCAGTGATTGATACGACAAACAACGATGAAAGCAGTTGGGCTCAATGTGATCCAATGAACAATATATACCTATATACCGCACGATCCATACGTTCATCTCTGACTGTCACAGCTTGCTTGGGAATCACAGGAACCCGGACCGGGAAGCGTAGTTAAGAGCCTCATTAAAGATTTCACAAGAAACATTATGCCAAGTCGTAGCATTGACTAAGTGCTGTTTATACTGACTGTTACATTTCAATACTGACCATTAGGTTTGCTGTACATATGTGTGTGTGTGTGTGTGTGTGTGCGTGTGTGTGTGTGTGTGTGTTTGCGAATGATGTATCTACAATGATGCATCAGTGGTCGTATTGCCATACATGGAAACTTTAATCATTTCAATTTTGAGGACACTGCTTTGTCTTCGCTACACTTGTCCAGGTAATTTCGTTGTACAGTGTCAAGCCTGTTAAACTTCTACAATTAGCCTAGTACACGGGTTTATTTGTTTGTGTTAGGTATATTAAGGTTCAATTTTCCATCATCACGTTAGAGTAAACTAGTTCTTTTCTCAGTTCTGGCTTATCAGTACGTTCTGGTTTTCACTGGAATGAGTTCAGTCGTTCGCAATAAATCTGAATTCCTTTCTATTGATACAGGTTAACTTACAATCAGTCCTTCTGACACCATGGCTGTCAAACGTATGCTCTTTATACTATGTTCCCTGCATGTGCGATGTACAGTGAGTCAATCTGTTTCGGTCACTGTTGCTACGGACAAGGCAATAGCAACAATAGATGACCATTTTGTTGGAGTGACCTTTGATTCAACAATGCTGCCAATATCAGCTAATTGGTATGGACTTGATTTCGGGTGAGTGAATTTAAACAGTGTCGATATATAGCATTTAGATGACCATTTTGCTGGCGTGAGATTTGATTCCCAACTGGGCCCAAATCAATTAATTGGATAAGCTTAGATTTTAGGAGAGCATACTAGTTCATTTATGTGCTATATATTATAGTTATGTTTACGCTATTTGACATAAATATGTGTAATCAATTCTAAATTTCAAATACATATACTCTGTCTTGTGAGTGCATAGTTCATTATAAGATTTGTTTCTAGCTCGCCCAAGGTGCAGACGTTGGCAAAAGCATTGTCTCCGTGCTACCTGAGGATAGGCGGAACACCTGGAGACTTCATGACCTTTGACTCAACAGGTCATGGGGGTACAAGTCCTAACGCTACTTACACTGGTATGTGTCTATAGTTGAGGTGTATGTCAAAACAAACAAAATGAATCGTATTGAATTCGTTCATACCGCTCTTTATTTTTTAAAAATCAACTCTTTGAGTTGGCATTCATTTACGATGACTGTGTATTGACTGACTGTATTGGCCATGAGAAGCTCGGTGTGAGCACATGGCATATATTTTCGATTTGTATTCAATGTAACGACAGTCATAACTGCATGACCTTAAATAAGTTCATCGCATTCATTAGCCATCGTACAACCTTCAAGTGTGAAGTGTATCTTTGCCTTTTCAGCCATAAAATGACATGCTTTAAAGAACGTTTGCATAATAACCAGATTAGGTCTCGATCCTCACTAAAATGTTTTAAAAGGACTGTAATTATATTACGACGACACCATGTTTGTAAACATTGAAGCTAGTTCTTACGTGAACTTGGTACATTAGTATATTTATCAGGGTAAAATGTCTTTCCGTTGGCTTTATCGTGCTGAGAACGTATCACTTGTATGATAAACATGTGTATTTCATATCTGAGGTGCTATGTGGGACAAGCTTAACGCCTTTCTGGAGACTGTGGGATGGGACCTGGTGTTGCCCTCAATGTCCTGAAGCGGAAGGACGGACAATGGGACCCTACAAACGCCCAAGAACTGATGAAGTATAGCCATGACAGAAACTACAAGATACCCGCATTTGAACTCGGAAATGGTAGTGTATATATCAACGGTTAAACAGCGTAGACTAGTTGTCTTTCTTTACCATATTATCCATCTTCCTGGAGGTATCGTCTATGTGTATAAGTAAAAGTTATTGCCTGTCCATGAGCATGTTAAGATACACTTTTCTACAGCACATCTGACGATATAATTGTTCTCTTGGAAGTGCACAGTGGGATCAGGATGGGGCAGGATCATACCTGCCGATACCAAAGAACGAAGACAATTATTAACGACAAACATCCTGAAGAAACACGTTTAGGTCTGCAAGTACTTCACATCAAAACACATCCGATAGTGAGCGGGATGCACTGAAATAGTTCCAAAGCTCAAACAACGTAACATTCCAAGAAAGATATACCTGGAGTAATCCCCTGGGTGGTTCTCTGTGACTTACGAGTTTGTACTTCAATCTTGGAAGCATTAATCTCCTCATTTTTTTCTTCAGAACCATCATATTTCCCTGAACCCTTCACTGACACAATATCTGGAGCACAGCTTGAGCGAGATTTTCTCCATCTTAGGGCAATCCTCAAGTCTACGCCTGGGTTTGAATCCACCTTAGTTATTGGACCCGACGTAACAGGTATCTCTGGGAAGAAATCCGTGATATTCCGAGAGTAAGTGGAGGTTCCAGTGACAGTTATTTCACTATGGTACAAACTATTCTCAGTATGATTTATTTTAGTGGCATTCTAGAAGTTGGTGGTATAGGCATGAAAAGATTTTATGGATGATCAACTCCTTTATATTGACAATGGCGACGTTTCGGTATAGATTCTTATACCGTTATATATATTCTTATACCATATGCTTGAAAACGGTATAAGAATCTATACGGAAACGTCGCCATTGTCAAAATAAAGGAGTTGATCGTCAATAAAGTCTTGTCATCCCTATTCTCAGTATATCATGAGAATATATTTGTAAATCACACCTGAATGTGCATCTCAGGCGTCTCCAACTGCTCCATGTTTGTTTGTTTCTTATTGAAGTCACGCCTATCAATATTCCAACTGTATGGCGCCGGTGTGTAAATAATCAAGTCTGCACCAGACATTCCAGTGATCAATGCAACTGGGGTACGATGACATGTGTCAACCAAACATGGGTTACTGAAGGTCAAATTCTAACCCGGATCTTTACAGGCATCAGCTATTTCTTTAAAACCATCAAGTAAAGGACATACATGTATGTTAAAAGCTGTTGACAGGATAACCTTTCACCAGTGAGTCTTGAGCTGAAATAATTTTCTATTCAGTTACTGAACTCTTCACTTTTAGCTCCACATATTATTTAACTATGTCTGTTAATCGGTGTAAAGGCGACATTGTGTAAACGATTTTTATTTGCGTCAGAAATTAATTGATTGTGTAGGTACTACGCCTCATAAATCCTTTGGTACCTCGGACGCCTGTACCGACCCCAAGGTGATGGACACTCTGATAACTGACATCAACATAGCGCGTAACGTCACCAACCTCTCCAACCCCGACACGACCCTGTGGCTCGGTGAGACATCGTCCTTCTATGGAGGTGGAAAGTTTTGTTTTTGATCTAATAAGCATGAATTCGGTTTTTACTTTCATTAATTTTCAATAGGTATTTTGTCATCCATGTCTGAATGTCATTGCAGGAATCAGAAAGACAGTTCAAAATGGCAGGGCTTCCGTGGTAGGGAATGAAGAATAGATTTGGTTGTCATTTGCATATTGATGTTGGTTGACTTACTGTGCTTGTTTGCTATGCTTCCGAGTGGTGTAGTGTACACAGAGAACAGCACTGGTCCTAGCACGGAACCTTGGGGGACACCACTCCTGAGATCTGTGGGACTTGATGTTTTGCTCTTAATCTTAACTACTTGAGATCGATCCGATAGGTAGGATTGCAACCATGAAAGAGATGTACCCTTGATTTTCAGGTCACTTTCCATTCTTGACATCAGCTTGTGATGGTCAATAGTGTCGAAGGATCTAGAAGAACCAGTGCTGATACGTTTCCTTTGTCAGCTTCTGTTAGAATGGGGGCGGTGGAGTAGCCTAGAGTTTAAAGCGTTCGCTCGTCACGCCGAAGACCCGGGTTCGATTCCCCACATGGGTACAATGTGTGAAGCCCATTTCTAGTGTCCCCCGCTGTGATATTGCTGGAATATTGTTAAAGGCGGCGTAAAACCAAAAACTCAC